GAATGAAGTAATTTTAATTGAGTAATATGAACTATAAAATTAAAATTTTATTTTTTCTTATTTTTTATTAATTTTATTATTATTATTTTTATTATAAAATTTTATCATCTGTATTTACCCTTCTTATTTTTTTGATTTTCTTTTTATCTTTTTATTATCTTCTCTTTTTATTATCTTCTTTATTATTTCTTTTTTCTTTATCTTATTGTTTCTTTATTTCTTTATCTTTTTACTGTGTTCTTCTCTTTATTATTTTATTTCATTCATTCTATTTTTCTATTATTTATTTTATTCTTTTATTATTCTTCTCTTATTTATTATTTTATTCTTTATTTATTGTTTTTTATACATTACTTCTATTTGTTTTTCTTATTTCTTTCTTATTATTTCTTTCTTATTCTTTATTTTATTCATTTTTTATATTTCTCTTTTTATTTTCTATATTTGTTATTTCTTTATATTCTTTTTGTTTTATGTTGTTCTTTTATTTCTATTATTTATTATTTTTATTCTCTTTTTATCATTTATTCTTTATTTCTATTCTCTTATTTATTTTATTTCATATAAATCTATTTATTTCATTTCTTTATATTTTATTAACCTAATTATTATTTATTAATTTATTCTTTCTTCAATTAGAGAATTAATGTGATTATTCCAATTATTATCATGAATAGGTTTACTGTCATGCTTGGTGTTCCATTATCTGATTCTGTTGGTGGATTAACACATACATCTTCAATGCATTTATTATTATTATAATCAAACTTGTATCCATCATCACAATATGCCATCACGCATTTTGTACTCCATTCTCCTTTATCTCCACATTCATATCCTCCATGTCCATGTTCTATATTAATTTCTTTATCACATTTTTCATCTCTTTTAACTAATCTTTTATTATTTGGATTACATTTTGTTTGATATTTCTCTATTATCTTCTTTGTCTCTTCTTCAAACTCTTTAATCACTTTTTCTGTTTGGTCAAATTGATAAATATTCACTCTTTCATCTATCATATCAGTTAGAAATTCTCTAGGAATACTTTCATTATATTCATAATTAAATCTGTATGTTTCTATAACAGTTAATCCAAGATTATATCCATATTGTTTTAAAATATTATCTTTATCTATATCATTTATATCTGGAATATTATTAGATGGTGATAATCCTACTTCAAATTCTTCATCTTTACCATTAGGATCACCATCAAATCCAACAATAATAGCTCCTCCCCATTCTTTTAATCCTTTTGTTACCCATGAACAAGCAGAATAACAATATGAATCTGTATAAACTACTATTTCTGTTGGTTTTCTTTTGTTTTTCATTAATTTCTTTAATTGATGAATACCAAGTGAAGGTGTTTGAATAAGTTTATCAAAAATTATCTTTGAAGGTTGTGAAACTTTATGCTCAACATCACCATATTTAATAATATTTGGATTTGAATACCATTCTCCAAATGTTTTTGGGTTATTTTCTTGTTCTCTTTCTTCACATGTTTCTGGATCATACATTGATTCAATATATGATGATTTTTTAATTATATCTTCTGTGAAATCTGATATTCTTACTGATCCAATGTAATCTACATCATCATATGGTGATAATATCTTTTCAATTGCATTAGAAAGAAGTACTGAACCTCCACTATTCTTTGAGAATATGAGTTGAATTGGATAATTATTAGAATCAAATAAATCAACACATTCATTCAATTTATCTATAAATTCATTTATTTTATTTGTTACACTTTTACCTGTAACATCAAAAGTATTTACAATTAATGTGTTTATTTTGTTACTTGTTGTTAAACAACATATTTTATTTTCAGGAGAACAATTTGGTTGATATTCATTATTTTCATTTTCTTTTGTTCTTGTTTTATTTGTTTCTTCTAAATCGTCTATTCTTAGTCTATCTCTTATTCCTCTTCTCTTACTTCTTTCAAGTGCTTGTTGGAATTTCTGATTTGATCTGTTAAATTTAATTATCTTATAATTAATTGTTAGACTTTCTCCATTTTCCCATGTAATACTTATTGGTGTGTTTAAATATTCTTTTGATAATGGTGTACCACTCAAACTGCCTTCAACTAAATAATCTTTTGCTAATGTAAATTGTGCATGTGGACATTTTAATCCCATATATTTCTTTCCAAATTCACGAATAATATTAAATGGATCTTCTCCATTTATTGTTTTAACTGCTACATTTTCATTATTAACTATTTCTTCTGGAACATCAATAGGAATACCAAGGGGTTCGTTTCTAGGAATTAAATACATTTTCTTATTATTATCAATATTTATTGTAAATGGAAGGAAATAATAGAAATAAACTAAT